CAAATGGCCCTTCTCAAAGGAAACCTGTCTTGATTTTCACTGAATGAATAAATTGTATTCAGTGCGTGTATGTGTGTGTGTGTGTGTGTGTGTGTGTGTGTGTGTGTGTGTGTGTGTGTTTGCATGCGTGTGTTCTGATATACATATTAGATTCAAAGTTTACAAGTCACAATTCTGATTGCGCCAGGAAAATAAAATAAGGTTGTTTCATTTAGGTAGGTACCAGTTTTTCTCAGTTGTGTGAAATGTGATTTGCTGATTTTCAGGGCCTCATTTTGGTTACTGGAGAAAGGGAGAGACAGTTCCTATGAATTTCCCATTTGGGGGTGGCATGGAGAATGTCAAGTACAGCCATAACCTCTGTTAGTACTGGATGTAGTTAAGACCCTTATTTTCCTCCTTGCTGTGCATGAAGGTTTGGTTGCATGTCTGCCATGTTCTTGATATGTATTTGGCACTAAGCATGGGGGAGTCTGAATCCTTGACCTCATGAACTACAGCCTTTCACAGGGTAGAGAAATATTAACCAAATAAACATCAAAAAACAAATATTGAAGGCTGGGTGGGGGTCACCTGAAACTAAACTGGCCTGACTCTGTCTTTTATCCACTTTTAGACAAGAGCACTTTACAACTTTCACAAGAACAGGATTAGTTAGATGGCCCAACCAGGCCCACAGCTATTTGTGCACTGTCACTGCTCGGGTTGCTGTGGAAGGGAGGCGATGCAGCCTGAAGCCTGTGACTTTAGCCAGATTGCTCAAAGACCAGACTAGGCCTGCAACTGTCTGTGCCTGGACTCTTGAGTGCTGTTAACACAGTAGGCCTGCGACTGGACCCAGCTGGAGGCTGGAACTTTTATTTCCCCAGAGAAGTCCAAATGAACAACAAACACACAGAAAACAAGGATCCATATAGGACAGAAACATGCTGGGTCAGCCTGGCCCCCAAACCTCCAATGCCAAATGGCCTGGTCCTCAGACCTCCGACATGGCAAGACACAGGGTAGTTCTCACCCTACCATGGCCAGATTTGGTGGGGGGGCCTGATCCACAGTTTGTACCATGGCCAGACACCGGGTAGCCTGGTCCACAGAACCTCTACCATGGCCAGATGCCAGGTAGTGTCTCACCCTACCATGACCACACAGAACTTGCTCACATTGTCAGAGTAAGAGGAAGAAGGGCAAGTTCTTAAGCACATCTTCTGCCCTTTCCTCTTTAATTTCCAGATGGATCAATCCCCAGATACCAGAAAAACATGCAAACAAAACACAGACACACAAGCAGATACTTACTCCAAAGTTCTCCCGGAGACAATTACCAGAAAACCTTTAAAACAATTTTGGTAACAAGATATATCAGCATACAAATTAACCTTTAAACACTTGCTAAAAGTGGAGGGAGAGGGCACACCAAAATCTACCACATGGCCAAAATGGCAAAAAGCAAATCAGGATGGTAAGAGAAAGTGGTAGAGCTCTGTTAAGTAAGTAAGCAAGCAAGCAAACAGGCAACAAACAAGCAGAAAGGGAGAAAGGCAGGGTCACGCAGAAACAGAGTGGGTGTACTGGAGGACAGACAGAGAGAGACAGACAGTTTTAACTAAGAGAATTTAAGTTGGGATGGCTAGCCTTGAGAGGAAACCTAGAAGAGGGTCCCTGAGACTCTGCCTGGATCTTAACTCTCAAGGGCACCAGCAGAGAGGCAGAAAGAAGGAGAGGGAAAGAAGAGAGAGAGAGAGAGAGAGAGAGAGAAGAGAGAGAGAGGGAGAGAAGAGAGAGAGAGGAGATTGAACTCTTACAAGAATAAGAAAGATTTTAGAGGAGGCAGCTTGGGGGGCTTATAGCAGAGGAAAACTTGGTATGCAGGGCTAGACAAGGAGGTGGAGGATCTGGAGTAGAAGTAGAAGGCTTGAGTGTAGAGGCCTTGGACCCCTCTCTGTTTTGTTGCTTTGAGTCAATCAGTCAGTAATGTCAACATTGAAAGTACTAAGACCAGATGTGAGTACATAGGTGAGTTAATTTTGGGGGCTGTACATCAGTTAGCCTGAGAGTTTTAGAAGGTTTGGCAGGACTATGGTAAAGGGTGTCTGGGTGTCAGCAAAGTGTGAGAGACTTGTGGAGCAAAAGAAAAAAATTCAGTGAAAAACACTGCATTTCCAGTTTCCGCAGTGACTTCCTGTACTGGGTTGAGCTAGTCAGACCATGCGTGTGCCTGCTCACTATACAAGCACCAATAGAGAACCTCCCTCAAGGAACTGTTCTACAGAACCATCTCAAACTAACCTCTCCACTCACTTTTAATCATGCTTTATATTCTTTTTTTTTTGTCGGTTTCAGGGCTTAAACTCTGGGCCTAGGTGATGTCCCTGAGCTCTTCAGCTCAAGATAAATGCCCTGCCACTTGAGCCACAGCACCACTTTGGAATTTTCAAGTGGTTCATTGGAGATAAGAGTCTCATGGACTTTCCTGCCCAGGCTGGCTCTGAACAGTGATCCTCAGATCTCAGCTTCCTGATTAGCTAGGATTATAGGCGTGAGCCACTGGCAGCCCATTTATCTCTTAGATTCTTATAATGGTAATTCCCCCATGTGACTAAGACATGACCTGCAAAGCCAGGACCTGCCACAGCACTGCCACCAGGTGGCCCAATCTCCATCATCATCCCCCAGTCTGTCATAGAAATGGGGGTGGGGGCTTCATCTCAGGGTCTCGGTGCTCCCAGTGGGCACTCTACCACTTGAGCCACAGCACCACTTGTAGCTTTTTGTCTGGACTGATTTCCAAGAGTGATCCTCAGATCTGAGCCTCCTGAAGAACTAGCATTGCAGGTGTGAGCCACAGGTGCTTGACTTACAGTAAGTTCTTTTGTAGCAGGAAATAAAACAGCAGCGCAAATTTGATTATTATTTCTTCTAAGTCTTCCTTACAGTCCTGAGAACTTTATTTTGTCTGCAACTTTCTAAACATTGACTGTTTTGAATATTATGAACTCAGAGGCCAGGATTGGAATTTCTTTTTTCAGTTTGGGTATGCTTGATGGTTTCTTACGGTTTTCAATTAGGGTTGCCTTCTTGGTAGGAGACCCCCAAAATGGTGTGTATCCTTCTATAATCCATCAGATGTCCCAAGCTTGACAGATTCCATTCTGAGAGTTCTATTGGATTTGTGTGTGTGAGTGCCCATCCTGGGCCTTGAATTCTGGGCCAAATTTCTGTTTCTGAGCTTTTTTACTCAAAGCTAGCAGGCTACCACTTGAGTCAGAGCTCCACTTCTGGCATTTTAGTGATTAATTGGAGATAAGAGTCTCACAGACTTTCCTGCTTGGGCTGCCTTTGAACCACAATCCTCAGATCTCAGCCTCCTGAGTAGTTGGGATTATAGATATGAGCCACCAGTACCCAACTTATAGTCTATATCCTTGATAATGGCCATTTTGATTGTAGTTTTGCTTTACATTTCCTCATTGAGAAAAGATGTTGAATAGTTTTTCATACAACCACCAGCCATTTGCATTTTTAAAATTTTTTCCTTGAGTGTCTCTGTAGTTCATTTGCTCGATATTGATTGGAATTCTTGCTCTTACAAAATTCAAACTGTTGATAGTTAATACATGCATGCTTGGTTATTAAAAAAAGTATCTATCTGTTTGTCTGACAATCTACCTATCCACTTATCTGGAAAAGCATTCATGTATACTGCCATATTCTACTCCACTCTCTCATGTTTTTTTCTCTCTGAAGAGGTGACTTGCTTCATCAGCAGTGAGTGGTAAGTGCAGCCTCTCTTATCTTTGATATATTTTCTTATTTCATCCATTAGGGGCCAACTTCTACGCCTCCATGCCCTCCTTGCGGCACGGCTGCCTTTACCAGGCCGCCCATCTGCATAGCTTCATTTCATCTTGCTTGGGTTCCCACATCCAGGCCAGGCTTCCCCTCCATGTGGAGGAGTTCCTGGTCCTACATTATCTCTGACTTGAAGCCATCATGACTCCCTTCTCCATTGCAAGGTGTACCCACCACCTTGGTGTGCTCTAGAAGCTTTGGGACTAAATTATGAGCAAACAAGGAAAACAGACAAGAGAAAGCACTGAGTGAAAGCATTGGAACCGAAGGGGAAGAAAGGATGATGTTTCAAATAAGTGAATGCTTTTAACATTGCTGTTGAATCAATTGACCAAGCAACTATCTTTATTCAGTGTTCATTATATTAACACAGTGGGGAGATGAAAATGGATTACAAAGGAATACTGGGGGGAGATGAGATAGAAACATTAGATCAAAACCCAGTACAACACATCTCAGTAGAGTGGTACAAACACATGAACTTAGAAATGGTAGCATCAGACAAACAATACACCTTCAATGAGGAAGGACTCAGCAGATAATTCTGTGGATGATGAATAATCTAATTGGAGACTTGAAACAGACCCCAAGCAATCACTGGTTCTGATGATAAAAATGGAAAATCCTCTTTCAGCCCCTCCAGTGGGCGGATGCCTCATGGTCATACTCTTTGCAGAATGGAGTTTGTTATCAGCTTTCTCGACACAATTCACATAGTAGAACGATGCAAATAAAACATTAAAGATAGATCTTTGCAACGGGGTCCTCACAAGAGCTCTCCTTTTCCTAGTGGTTGATAAGACTAGTGATAAATGCCTGTGCTCAGATCACAGCTTTGAGAATGGCAAGGATGACAGGAGAGAGCAATACTCCTGTGAGAATAGGAAGTCAGTTCCTTTATGGCGCCCAGTAGATAAAAGCCCACACAGGAGGGAGGGAATGAGAGGGAAAGAGGGAATAGCTGACACCAAACAAAAGGAAAGAATCGTACATAGCACCCAATTTGGAAGAAGTAGTTTATTGTCACAGTTTATGGAATTAATGAAGTTTATAGACCATGATCATGACAAGTTGCTTTGTGAAGTTCAAATGTGTTTGTGACTTTAAGTATCACTATCCTACAGTACTGTGATATTTGCAAAATTTATGTCATCAGTTAATCTCAACAAAACATTATGTAATTAAAAAAAAAGCCCACATAGCCATTGAACAAGCTTGAAAATGTCCAGAATTGCTAATCAGGAATTCACTGCAGAACACCATGCCTGGTTACATTTCTGAGGGACTGTTTCCCCCATACAATCAACTGATTTTCTAGTGCTCTTGGAAACAATGTCTTTGGAGAACACAGCAGAAAAATCTTTGCAGAAAATCATGCTCCACTTACGGTCCCATCTCTTGACACAATCTTTAGGACAATGGGTTTTTCTGGTTGAAGAATTCCTGGATCACTTAATTTCAGAGGAATCTGCAACAGTGAAAGAAGTGTAATGAGAAAACAATCAGCTATGCACTTCCAATTATAGCAGCAAAGAAAAAAGATAAAGGTAATAATGATTGACAACTAGTTTTGACATTGCCTGTCTTGAATTCTTTCTACTCATTCATTAAGCTCTGTCAAGACTGGGGTCGGAAAAGTATTCTTTCATCTGTTCACTGGGGAAAATATAGGTATTTATGTTATGTTACTTTACTGATATAATTTTAAGAAAAAAAGAATGAGTTTAAAAAATTGAACCATCCAGATAATGGTGGCTCATGCCTGTAATCCTAGCTACTCAAGAGGCTAAGATCTGAGGATCACAGTTCAAAGTCAGCTCAGGCAGGAAAGTTTGTGAGGCTCTTAATTTCACTTAACAACCCTAAAGCTGGGTATGGATCTGTGGCTCAAGTGGTAGAGCACTATCCTTGAGGGGAAAAGCTCAAGGATAGCACCCAGGTCCTGAGTTCAAGTCCCAGGACTGGCAAAAAAACCTACAAAATTTAAACCAGATTCTTAGCCATTAAGGCAAGATATTTTTGAAAACTCATAAAAAGTTTCATTTTGGATTTGTTGGATCTGAGAAAGTAGTATACATTTCAATTTCAGAAACAGTCTTCAAATTCTAAATAATCCAGTCATTCTTCCATTTGAGCCAATGCAGTTTAATGACGAGAGAGACTTCAAGAAGGACTTGCTTGTTTGCTTACTTTCTCTCTTCCTTCTTTTCTTTTTCCTTCCTTCTTTCCTTCCTATTGAAGAGGGGGGTGGGTATCTTGGGGTTTGAACTGAAGGCTTCAGCACTGTCACTGCACTTTTTGTCCAAGGCTAGCACTCAACCACTTGTGCCACAACTCTACTTCAAGCTTTTCAGTAGTTAGGTCTATGAGATATGGGTCTCATGGACTTTCCTGACTTGCTGGCTTTTAACCATGCCCCTCAGATCTCCAAATCCTGAATGGCTGGGATTACAGGCATGAGCAGCTGGTACCTGCTTTTCTTCCTTCTTCCTTCCCTCCTTCCCTTTCTTTTTACTTTTCTATCATGTTCTTTTGATATACCAGTGTGGTGGGAAATGGGGAATTTCTGAGTACTGCACTAAGTACTCCATACTGTGAGTAGGTTTTCAGTAGTGGAGGGGTGGCCTGCCTATCCTAGAACAGGGAAGACAAGCATGTCATTATGAAAGTGAACACTCTCCAATCTGGAAAAGAGATGCTCTGGGGACCTATAGAGCATCTGTCCCATTTCATGTATATTGTGGCCCCCTTTTTCTTAAGGTTAAGTTACTGGGTTGCACACTTAATAGGAAATTGACACAGCTACCCCAAAGCCATACAAGAAGCAGAAACTATCTATCTATCTATCTATCTATCTATCTATCTATCTATCTATCTATCTATCTACCAATCATCTATCTATCAATTATCTATCTCTCTATCTATGTTCCCTCTCTTTGGCAGGAATCACACTATCATGCAAGAGCAAAAATTTAAATTTGTGAGCCTTGGAAATAAGCCTCTATCCTTCAGGAAACAGCTGTAAATCTTTGTCAGAAAAGAATCCTGTCAAATATCATAATGACAAGATCATCATGTATAATGATCATATGCCATGCTTTCTAATTCCAATTGACAGGAAGTTCAAATGCACTCAGGTCCAAGATCCTCAGCAGAGCCAGGGCATGCTAATTTGCCTGTGTGGACACAAGCTTTCTACTTTGATTTTGCCAAATAAATTACCTAATTCCCAAATTGGGGAATCCAAGAAATGGAACAAAAACAACAAAGATTCTTTTGGTTCATCAAATATTGACAGATGAACAAATATATACTTGTATGACAATAGGCTTCTCAATTTAAAAAAATAGGCAAACCCCCAAATCTCCCATAAAGCCAGGCATCCTCAGCTCATGTGGATAATCCTAGCTACTCAGGAAGCTGATATCACACTTTCAAGTTTGTCCAGGATAGAAAAAGTCCCTAAGACTCTTTTCTCCAATTAACCAGCAAAATGCTGGAAAGTGGAGGTGTAGCTCAAGTGGTACAGCACCAGCCTTGAGCAAACAACACAGTGAAGACTGTGAAGCCCTGAGTTCAAGCCCCAGTATTCAGTCCTGAACAAATGTCATGAAGTATTATTTACCTAGGAAGTATACTGACCTGGGTCTCCTTACAAGGTTGGAAGGAGAAATTCTGCATGAGTCTGACAAGAGCAAGTTTGATGTTCATGAGAGCAAACCTCATGCCGATGCAGTTTCTGGGCCCAACTCCAAAGGGCATGTAGATGTAAGGATTGATGCTTTCCTTGTTCTTCTTGCTGAACCTGAAGCAACAAAAGTGGGGAAAACATGAACATCTCAAGAACCCAGCTATTTGTGGCTGAACTTCAGACATCCCTAACCAGTACTAGATAGTACTGGTCAAGGAAATCCTGCTATGGTTTGTTCTCTTTCTCTGTTTCTTTATTTTTGTGGATTGTAGAGCTTAAACTCAGTACCTGGGCACTATCTCAGAACCCTTCAGCTCAAGTGCTCTACCACTTGAGCCACAGCACCACTTCTGGTTTTCTGGTAGTTTATTGGAGGTAAGAGTCTCACAGACTTTCCTGCCGGGGCTGGCTTTGAACCATGATCCTCAGATCTCAGCTTCCTCAGTACCCAGGATTACAGGTGTAAGCTACCGGTGCCCAGCTTGTTTCATATGTTTCAAAGGGTTTTGAGTCACAAGTGACTAAAATACAGGTGTAAATTACAGTCCTCTGTAATTACAGAGTGATCAATCAATCAATAATTCAGTCTGTCAGTCCTCTATCCATCCATGTACCTTTCTCTCTCTCTCTCTCTTCACACACACACACACACACACACACACACACACACACACACACACACATATGTTTATATAGTATATTAACACAGGATGGTGAAGACTTTACACTTTACTAAGTAAGCAGTTCTTTAAAAGTAAAATCCAGCTGGGAGCTGGAGAATCATGTCTGTCATCCTAGCCATTCAGGAGCTTGAGATCAGAGAAACTCATTTCAAAGCCAGGACTGGCAGGAAAAGAGATTTTTTTTTTGTCCGGTTGTGGGGCCTGAACTCTGGGCCTGGGCACTGTCCCTCAGCTCTTCAGCTCAAGGCTAGTGCTCTACCACTTGAGCCATAGCCCCACTTCCGGCTTTTTTCTTTTTGCTTATGTGGTGCTGAGGAATTGAACTCAGGGCCTCAGGCATGCAAGGCAAGCACTCTACCACTGAGCCACCTTCCCAGCCCGGAAAAGAGATTCTTATCTTCAATTAACCACCAGAAAACCAGAAGTCATTCCATGACTCAAAGTGGTAGAGTACTAGCCTTGAGCACAAAAGAGCTCTGGAACAGAACCCACGTCCTCAGTTCAAGCCCTATGACAGATAAACAAAAACAACAAAACAGAAAAATAAAACCCCTACAATTACATGCATAGAAGTATGCTCCTGGATATATATCCATAGATGTGACATCATTAACAAATGATTATTTCTAGACTTAAGAATTTGTATCCCTTTTTTCTGGTCCACTTTTACAATTTTGTCCAAATTTGTCATGCTTGTAATATTAAAAAATTGCTGAAGATCAAGACATTTGTGCAAATCATTGAGCAAGAACACTATGCCTTCTATGTTAAGGGGCCACGCAGATGCTGGAAGTGACCATGTCAAGGAAGGCATCTTTCCTCCTGGCCCGCTTACCTCTCAGGGTGGAATTCCTCAGGCTCTGGCCAGTACTTGGCGTCCCGTTGAAGAGCGTAGGTTGGTACCATCACCACGGTGTTTTGGGGAATAACCACTCCATTGATTTCCACATCTGCCTTTCAGACCCTCTCAAGTCGGCCAGCAATGGGGTACAGCCTGAGAACCTCATTCACCACCATGTCCACATACTCCATCTCCATCACGGCATCATAGGTGGCAGGTGCCTAACAAGTTTGGGATGTAGTCTGAACTCAATCAATGAAATTCTGCCAGTGTTGTTAGGAGCTTTGAAGAATAATTCTTGTTGGTAAAGAACCTTAACTTTCACAAGGTGTTTAACTAATAATTATGTCCTAGGATCTGTTTGATGGTCCATGGAAAAACACAAATAGGAGGGATGGCTATGCTAGTCAATCCCCTGGGGCCTAAGCTCATTGTTGGTGCCCTGTACTGCTTTTCTTTCTCCTGTGAGGGAATGTGACCAATAGCTGAAGACAATGACCCTCCAGTCAAATACACCAAAGTCAGTGTTACAGCTCACCAGAGAGAGAACAGAGGTATGGTCTTTAGAAAAGAGAATTCCTGTTCTATTAAGTTAAATAGACTGTGTGGCCACTTTTGTGATTATATAACATACATGAATACATTATAGTGCATATATATTATATATATATATAATATCATATTTCATATGCAATTCTATAACTAATCAAGGGAGAAACTAGTCCTTTTTATAATTGGAAAATAATTATATGGTATAAAAGAAAAGGAGGGATACTACCAGTAAACATCCTTTCAGTTCTAGTAAAAATTCTAAAGAGGATACAAATGCACAGACTCAGCCCCATCCTCAGTTGCTGAACCAGACCATTTGTTGTTCCTTTAAAGCTTGACTGCAGGCTCAGAAGAGGAGGCCCTGTACCCTACTGACTGCCAGTCCAGCTGCCCACAGAATCTCACTGTTGTCAAAGATGTGAGCACAGAATGACAATGTGTGGCTGCCACTCTGTGCTCTAATGAAGATCAGCTTAGATGCCAGATGCCCGGGGTCATAGCTTAGCTTCCTCAATTCTAACTCTGACCCAGGAGACTGAGTCTTGAGTCACCCTGTGCAGCCTAGCCAAGTCCATCCTGGTATGAGCACAGCATGTCTAGCACCTATCAGCACCTAAATACTTAGTTCATATGTGCTTATACTTCTCTGCCATTGAGAATTTTGCCTTTTTGGGTGGGCACTAGTACTTAAACTCTGGGCCTGGGCACCAGACCTTGCCCAAGGCTAGTGCTCTACCATGTGAGACACAGCTCCACTTCCAGATTTTTGTGGTTAATTGGAGATAAAATCTCACCGACTTTCCTGACTGAGCTGGCCTTGAACTGTGATCCTCACATCTGAGCTTCCTAAGTAGCTAGGATTACAGGCATGAACCACCTGTGCTTGCTGTAGCCATGTTATTTTTAATAACAGATCATGGATTCAGTTGGAAAAAATGAGCTTTTTACAACAATCATACTTCTTTGAGTAGCACTTAATACCTTTATTTCCCTCACCTTTTAATATTCTCTTCAAATTCTTCCCAAAATATTTGAAGAAGCCTTCTGTGCTTACAACCTTGTACAGAATTCCTCACCAGAAGTGATAAGGAGACATTCTTGTAATGCCTCATCAGTTCCCGCCCTCCCCAGGTGCCTTGCCCTCACCTTATTGGGTAAAGTCCTGTCAACTTCCTCTTGCAGCTTCTTTTGGACATCAGGGTGAAGGGCCAATAGATACATAGCAAAAGAAAGAGTGAGGCTGGTGGTCTCATAGCCAGCGAAAATAAAGATAATTGAAATAAACATACATTTTAGGTCAATGAAGTCAGTACACAATGCCAAAATCATGGTTTATAAGACCACTAATACCTAAGGATAAGACATAGAAAAGCAAGGTAATGTCACCTAGTCACCACATGGGACAAGAGCTAAAGAGACTAAGTTCTACACTACCATTGCCCATCTTGTCTGTGTTCTCCATTTGTGCCACTTAGAGCTGGGTCATTTAAGAGACCATATTCTATTTAACAGGTGCTACCAGAGCAGTGTGACCCCATCTGTCTGATTGGGGGACATTGCATACACATATAGAAACAGCAAGACAAAACCCCTTTATACAACTACTTAATAACAATAGAAAGAAAAGAACATGGAGGGATCTTTTCCATTGAAACATATTCGAAGGATCTAAGGGAACCATAGGATCTAAGGGTGGAAAAATCAATAGGTGGCCAGGTTCAAATGGTGCATTCCTGTAATCCTTGCTACTCAGGAGACTGAGATTTGAGGATTGAAATTCAAAGCCAGTTTAGGCAGAAAAGCCCCAAGACTCTCATCTCTAATAAATCACTAAATGCCAGAAGTAGGGCTGTGGTTCAAGTGGATGAATGCCAGTCTTAAGCAAAAAATCTAAAGGATAGTTTCCAGGCCCTGAGTTCAAGCTGCAGGATTAGACAAAAAAAAAAAAGAACAAAAGAAAAGAAATCACTATAATCAATTTGGATGTTAAGAGGTTATTCATATGTAGTCCAGGAGTATCTTTTTACATTTAGCTCAATTTGTCTATGAAGCTACAATTTCTCTAAAATACCATGTACTTAAAAATATGGAGAAGAAGAAAAAACTCATGAGCTCACATGAAAGGGTTTTCAGTGAACAAACATGAGAGAACTTGAATATGAAAATAATAATGATAGGAAGAGAATAAGTGTGTGTGTGTGTGTGTGTCTGTGTCTGTGTCTATGTGATTTCTAGGGCTTGAAATCAGGGCCTGAGCTCTGTCCCTGATCCTTTTAGCACAGGCTAATATTCCACCACTTCAGTCACTGTTACACTTGTGGTTTTTCAGTGGTTTATTTGAGATCGGAGTCTCTTTTCTACCTGGGCTGTCTTTGAATCATGATCATCGGATTTCCCCTTCTTGAGTAGCTAGGATGACAGGCATGAGCCACTGGCACCTGGCTGTAAATGTAATATATAAGACCATGGTAATGAGAATGCAATTCCTTTTGGCTGCCATATATAAAAGCAGAGTGTGGATCTTTCTGAAATTCTGCAGAAATATGCCTCTATGTGGAAAACTGACTTCACATTTTCCTCGTGAGTAGACCCCAAAAGATTCACTGTTACCTTTGTGGGACTCCATGTCTTTGGAATTCTGGGAGTTAATCATCAGCTGCAGTAAATCCACTCGATGCTGGAAAGAAGACAGACAGATTTCAAAGGCAGAACATCACCCATGAAATGAGAAGTAAATCAGAAGCACAGAGCTTAGCCTCCCTCTGTGAATATACCCCATGGAACTCCACACATCTTTCTTTTTTATTTATTTTTCTTTCTTATTTGTCAGTCATGCGGCTTGAACTCAGGGCCTGGGCACTGTCCCTGAGCTTTTTTGTTCAAGGCTGCCACTCTGCCACTTTGAACCACAGTATCACCTCCGGGTTTCTGATGGTTAATTGGAAATAAGTCTCATGGCCTTTTCTGGCAAGGCTGGCTTTGTACTATGATCCTTAGATGTGATCTCTGCCTCATGAGTAGCAAGGATTACAGGTGTGAACAGCCAATGCCTGGCTGAAGATTGCCTGAATCACCATAGAACACGAATAGCTATTTAATATTTTGGTTGGATCAGGATCTTTTCCTAAAAGAAAGCCAGCTGTCCTGACCAACAGCTTTTGGTCTTTGCTCTCCCCAGCTCTGACATTCTCTGACTTATAAGAGCAAACTGTTGGTCCAGGCAGGATGTGGCTTCTTCTCCCATCACATCTGTTTGCTCACAAAACAACACCAGGACTTCAGTCTTTTTTCAGACTTCCTTTGTTGTTGTTGTTGTTGATCATGGGGCTCTGGGCTAGGGCACTGTTTGTGAGCTTTTCAGCTCAAGGCTAGTGCTCTACCACTTGAGCCACAGCGCTACTTCCAGTTTTCTGGTGACTAATTATAGATAAAGTCTCATGGACTTTCCTGCTCAGGCTGGCTTTGAACCACGATCCTTAGATCTCAACCTCCTGAGTAGCTAAGATTACAGGTATGAGCCACCAGAGCCTGGCTGTGCACATTCTTCTTAATGTAGAGTCCACAGATTCATCTCTTTAGAGTAAGCATCTGGAAACACATCACCATTCTGGAATGTTACAGATTTTTCAATGACACTTGGAGGAACCCAGTACTGTCTTTCTGCCCTACAGACATCCTTGTTCTGATGTCTAAGCTGTAGGAATCAGATATTCAGACAAGCCTTCAGGGGCTCAAATTTAAACTAGACACACTTCAGTAGATGGCCTATAGCTGAGTGAAGCTTGGAAATAAAATAATCACGTGTGTGTGTGTGTGTGTGCGCGCGCGCGCATGCGCACGCGTATACTAGGACTTGAACTCAAAACCTGGTTTCTTTCCCTCTACTTGTTTGCTCAAGGCTAACACTGTACCACTTGAGCCACTTCTGGCTAACTAGAGAGAAGAGGCTCACTGACTTTCCGGCCCAAGCTGGCCTCACACCATGATCTTCAAATCTGATCTCAGCCTCCTGAGTAGCAAGGATTACAGGCATGAGCCACTGGTGCCTAGCATTTATCTTTCAATTTTAAATTCTTTCTTTCACATATATTTTATGCCTCCATTCCCAACCACTAAATTCTTCATTCTCCCTTCCAATCTAAAAATTCTTGATCTCAACCTAGAGTTCTCTATCTAATTTTAGAAAAGGACAAACAGTTATATAAAACATACATCTAGAGCCAAATAACCTTTGAACATCCTTAAGTAACCATCAGCAGCTTTTACCTTTGCTTTGTCCTTGAGGCGACTTTCTTTCAGCCTTTCTACAGAAGTTCTTAGGAAATCTGTAACATCCTTTGGAAACGCGCTGATATTTAATGCCTCATAAACAGGGGTAAGGAATGGAAATAGTACTACAGCAGAAAACAAGAAATAGAAACATGGTGAAAATACAAAATGTGCTGTCTACACCATTGAATATTATTCAGCCATATAATGAAATAAGGTACTAATACATGCCTCAAGATGGATGAAACTTGAAAGCATAATACAGAAGCCAGACACAGTTATAGACAGTGAGAAAATAGTTTAGTGATCATTCAGGCCTGAGAGAAGTAGGAAAGTACAAGCTAAAAAGTACAGGGCTCCTTCCTTCTTTCTTTTCTTTCTTCCTTCCCTCTCTTTTTCTCTCTCTTTCTTTCATCAGCACCTAGACACTCTCTCTCTTGTTTGTTTTTTTGTCTCAAGGCAGGTGCCCTAGCACTTGTGTCATAGCTCCAATTGGAAATCAGGGATTCAGATTTTCCTGCCTCAGGCAGGCTTCAAACCACGATTCTCAAATCTCAGACTCCTGAGTAGCTAGGGCTATAGGTATGAGCCACTGCCAGGAAGCAGCTACAGGGTTTCTTTTTTTGCCAGTCCTGGGGCTTGAACTCAGGGCCTGGGCACTGTCCCTGAGCCTCTTTGTGCTCAAGGCTAGCACTCTACTTCTTGAGCTACAGCCCAACTTTTGGCTTTTTCTGTTTATGTGGTACTGAGGAATCGAACCCAGGGCTTCATGCATGCTAGGCAAGCACTCTACCACTAATCCACATTCCCAGCCCAGTACAGGGTTTCTGGTGAAAAAAATGTTCTGCAATTAACAGTGGTAATGGCCACATATATCTTTATATGCAGTGAAAAAAATCATTGAATTATACAGCTTAATGAAATACTTATATGTATGAATGAATGAATTATACCTCAATGAACTAGGGTTTGGCTTTTTTTGAGTCATGGGGCTTGAACTCTGGGCCTGGGCACTGTCCCTCAGCTCTTCAGCTCAAGGCCAGCACTCTACCACTTGAGCCACAGTGCCACTTCCAGTTTTCTGAGTGGTTTGTTGGAGATAAGAGTCTCATAGACTTTCCTGCCCAGGCTGGCTTGGAACCACGATCCTCAGATCTCAGCCTTCTGAATAGCTAGGATTACAGGCCTGAACCACTGGTGCCCAGCTTCGAACTAGGTTTTTTTTTTAACAGAGAGAGCGAGAGATCCACGAACATACTGAGAAAAGCAATGGATTAAAGAAATCAGCTTTTAAAAGCCTCTTCACTTTTTCCACAAAGATGTCCTGTGGGTTGTTGAGAGAATCGATGTTTACCCCAAATGATGTCCCTGTGATCACGTCTAAGCTGTAGGCCCCAAAGATGCTGAAGAAGAGAAAGACACAGGACAATTAAAACTTGCACTTCTTTTTCCCCTTTTTCCTTTCTGCTACATGGGCAGCAAAAAGTGGGAGTGAATTCCTGTGTCAGGCAAGAGATTAGGAAACTGTTCTCTGTCAGAACTGCTTGAGGGGCCATCAGAAGGATCCAGCATCCTCCACCCCCACCCCAAGGTCTTTACCAGGAGCCAATGGTTCCACAACCCTGGTGCAAGGGTTGACAGGAAAATTGGTTGGGTCAGACTCAAGGAACTCAGACTCAGAAAACAGACAGACAGACAGACACACACACACCAGACAAATGACAGCAGTAGAAATGCTATGTACTATAATAGCTTGCAGCAGATACTGATGGATTGTAACAGGTAATAGACTGGGCAGGCCAAGGGTGGAGTAATTTATACACACACACTCTCTCTCTTTCTCCTTCCCTCCTCTCTCTCTTCTTCTCTCTCTCTCCCTCTCTCCCTCCCTCGCTCCGTCCCTCCTCCTCTCTCTCCTTCTCTCTTTTTCCCTCTCTCCTTTCCTTTCTCCTTCCCTCCCTCCCTCCTTCTCTCTCCCCTTCTCTCCCTTTCCCCTTCTCTCCCTTTCTCCCTCTCTCTCTCTCCTTCCTCTCTCCTCAGATCTCAGACTCCTGAGAAGCTAGGGCTATAGGTATGAGCCACTGCCAGGAAACAGCTACAGGGTTTCTTTTTTTGCCAGTCCTGGGGCTTGAACTCTCTCTCTCTCTCTCTCTCTCTCTCTCTCTCTCTCTCTCTCTCTCTCTCTCTGTTGGTCCTGGGGCTTGAACTCTAGGCCTGGGCTGTCCCTGAGCTTCTTTTACTCAAGCTTTCTACCACTTGAGCCACAACTCCATTTCCAGCTTTCCTGAGGGTAGTTTGTTGGAAGTAAGAGATACACAGACTTTTCTGCCTGGGCTGACATAAAACCGTGACCATCAAATCTCAGTCTCCTGAGTAGCTAGGATTACAGGCATACATCACCAGTGCTTAGCAAGTACTCACTCTCTCAACGCTACAGGTTTGCCTTTCTCTGCTTGTGGTCTCAGGTTTTTCACCAATCCATCAGAAAACTCACGAATGATGGGGAACATCTAGGCACAAAACAAGAGAAGTTAAAAGAGAAGACTTATATCCCAGAGTCCATGACACCCCCCCCTCCTCAAAAGATGGAAATGACATTCCATTTATGAGAATTCATGGAATTCTGGAGGACGTCCTCTTGGTAAAGCCCTTTGATCTGCCTGTCTGCCTGTCCCCTGATTCATTCTGGAATTTTTTTAATCCAGGGCTGAGGACCGAACCCAGGGCCTTGCGCACGCTGGGCGGGCGCCCTTCCGCTGGGCTAAACCCCCAGCCCCTCATTCTGGAATTTTCCAGCACCACGTTCTCAGGTTTGATTACCTCCTTCAGTTTCCCACTGGTGAAGGTGGGGGAACGCAATGTTCTTATTCTCTTCCAATCTTCGTCCACAGAAATGGAGATGGATTTTTTCATAAAACCTGTTGGGCCAAAAGGCTAGACGCCAAAGAAAAACAGATTTTTGCTCTATGTCAATTGAAGATCTTGAATAGTTGTATAAAATTGGTGAATTGGCAGCATTTAAAGAAATTTCCACTGTCTACGTGAACAGTCGGTCCTCTGTAAGAAACTCAACGTATATTTATCCCAAATGTCTAGGTCCATGTGAGGCCCCCAGCCACCTCATATGATTTCAGGATCTCATATTCTAGACACTTCTCTATCAACATTTATCTATTGTCTTCTTTATAATTATCTTATAAACAGAAGGGTTTTAATCCAACATGTTGATTCATGAACACAATGTATCTTGATCAATATCACGCCTTTCAACATTCTTCCCCCGCCCATTTCCACAGAGCTTATAATTCTTTCATAATAAAAACAGGGAAAATATCTATTTTGTTGATAAATAAATATTACAACGTGTTTTTTAATGGATGCCTACCCGGCGGTTTGTGAAGGTAGAGTAGCATTCTTTCACCAGCACTGTTTTGATCATATCTGGATCTGTAATCGCCAGCAAGGGCTGCCGACCATCGTACAACCTGTGTGTGTACCAAACACAGCTGTGTGAAAAACCTAACCTGCCAGGCTCTGCACCTTGAGCCAGAACAAAGAAATCCAGACCGTGATCATACTCCAAGCTCCTCAACATATGCCAATAATAGCTAGGGATTTTGAACACAGATGGCACAGGGGTCCACAGAATGAAGGCCAATATACTGAGGTACAGAGGAGACACCTAAAGACAAAACAGATCTTCCAAGAGCTCATGATCATTGGGACATTTGGATAAGTTCAGCCAGTGCATACATGACTTTTATCCATGCCAGTCACCACGGCTTTTAGTATGTTAAAAATATTAAACATATCTGACACTGGTGTCTCACATCTGTAATACTGGTTACTCAGGAGGCTGAGATCTGAGGATCATGGTTTGAAGCCAATCTGAGAAGGAAACTATGAGACTTTTATCTCCAAATAACTACCAAAAAAGCCAGAAGTGCAGCTGTGGCTCAAGTGGACAAGTGCTAGCTTTGAGCAGAATAAGGCTCAGGGACAGTGACCAGGCCCTGAATTCAAGCTCCAGGACTGTCACAACATGTACATACACAAATTTTGGTGACAGGTGAGCTCTTCATAAGGAAAAGCCTCCACAGAATTCATAATTCATCAGTGAGGCTCAAGACACTCTGGGCTGATAGAGTCCCAACAGAATGGATTATCTCATCTTCACCAATCTACCCCATGGAAGTTTCCAGAATACTTACCCCCAAAGTTTTCCATATTTTTTCATAACATTCTACATCAAAAGCTACAATGCCCTGAGAAGAGAAATAAAGATAAATGTTACATGTGTAAGACCTCGTCCAAATACATTCCCCTTGATCACGTTCTAGAACAAGTTTGTATATGCAGTATGTCACTTTGAAGTGGCTTTCATCCAAGCATTCCCGGGGAGGAGGGAGAGCCTGGGCTGGCTTCAAACTGCAATTCCCAGGTCATTGGCTGTCTAGGAACTAAGATGATATATTTAAGCACAGTACCCAGCAGACATGTCCAATCTTTTATCTTTTATCTCCTCATGCAACTTGTTTTTTGTTTACCAAATGAGGTTCCTGGAGGTGGGATGTTCAAGTCACCTCTTCTGGCATAGGAAATTAATGTAAGACTCTGGCAGAAGTCAGAGTGCAAGTGAGGGCAAAGTGAACTTGCTCAATATGAAAAGATAAGAGTGATGCCACCTCTACCCATAGGGAACCATAATTAGAACACTTCCTCTGAGGTTTGATTCTGAAGGTAACAAAAACAAGAAAAAAGTCAAGAAAGAAATCATCCTGGTGGGAATTCTCAATTGTGGTATTTTAACTTTGCAAACAAAAGTCCCTAGAGCTATGAGGGACCCTTTCTGGAATTGGCACTGTTCTGGGAAAAAATCCTTTGTCTAACTATCAAGTTCTCAACATGAGTGCCAAGATACAGGAAATCTGAGTGGATCCACTCATGGCCAGTGGATAGTCAGGACAGCTGGACACAGAGCCCTGCAGTACACCTGGCCATACTCTAGGGGGCGCACACACACAGCTTCTGAAAGTCCGCACTTCCTCTCCACCAACAGCACTTAAAAAAAAAAAAAGTATTGCAATGTTACAGTACAGAGGGGTTACAGTTACATGAGTAAGGTAATGAGTACATTTCCTATCAAGCATTGTTACCCCTTCCTTTGTTTTCACCCTACCATCCCTTCCCTCCCCACCTCCCCAACTCCTCCCTCCCTGCCACCAAGTTGTAAAATTTGTTTTCAACATAGTGTCTTGTACATCTCATTGTTACAATGGGTCAACCCAACAGCACTTTTTATGAATGGAAAGAAGCCAGTCTTTGCAACCAGAAAAGCAAACTGTAGACCTCAAGCAACACTTACCTTACGATAACAAAGAAAAGTTCCCAAAAAGGGCAGAGGTTTTGGGCCAGGAATTCCCAACTTCTTAAAAACTCTATGTGGATAGGTCCCATATCTATAAATATTTTTAAAAATACAGATCATAAAGATGCACACACATGCAAGCACACACACACACACACACACACACACACACACACACACACACACTGTATACATATGGAGTGTAGTCAGTTACTAACTCAAGAAGTAGGACAGTCAAAATGGGATGCCAACATGTAGGCAATGATAACACAAGAAACTCAAATGGCAATGATTACCCTTGCTCTTCAGTTCCTTTCTTACAGCCTCTGGGAGAACTCCAAAAGTCACAAACATGAGCTAAAAGTAGCTGGAGTCTTTAGGCTCCCCAACCCACAATGGATAATTGGAAAAATCTACAATCTTGTTTTGAGTGATCTTGTGAGATTCAAACTAGAATTTTCCAAGTCTTTCATTTCCATGTGTCATTTGATGTGGACAGCCAAGCTTCATAAGTGGGGCTTGGAGCTCTGACCTTAAAGGAGAGAAATATTCTCTTGCTTCCTCCTAATTCCTACCTGGGTGTTGTTGATTTCATTATTGGCTCACCTTCTTCCTACTCACCTCCACAGAAAGACTAAGATAACCTGCTGGAGAGGAATATCAATATACAAGGAAGATTCCTGCTTATGGATGCTTATTACAGCTCTATAGACAATAGCCAAGCTGTAGAATCAACAAAGTGCACAATGACCAATGAACAGATAATCATATGCACACACACTATGGAGTATTACTGTGCTAAGTGGAAATCATTTGCAGGAAAATAGAACTGGAAAGCATCCTATTGAGTCAGATACGTCACGTTCCAAAAGCCAACTGTTGCATGCTATTGCTCATCTGTGAAATGATCATGATGATGATGGTTGTGATGATGATGATGATGGTAATGAAAATGACAGCAATTAAGAATGGGACATAAATAAAAATAGGTTTATCTGCAGAGATTTGTGGAATGGGGAGAGTGGGAAGGAAAGGACTAAAGAGTATTGAAAGATGTTACATCTGTGTTACACATGCTAGATTTTTATGAGTTTATGTGTGTATATACAAACATAACACAATGAGTGCAGTAATCACTGGTTCAAACAGATGGCGGGAGGAGAGAATGGAGGACAGAATGAAGGAAGTGAATGTGTTCAAAGTTTATTGCACCCATGTATGAAATTATCATAATAAAACCACTTGTATTACTAATGTATGCTCATTCAGAAATAAAAGTAAATGTAAACAGCCAACGAATTAAAAAATGTGCTTATGAGGTAAATATATATATGGTGGCTCATTTCTGTAATCATAGCTACCAAGAATGCTGAGATCTAAGGATTATGGTTTGAAGCCAGCCTAGGCAGGAAGTCTGTAAGACTGGTGTGTGTGTGTGTGTGTGTGTGTGTGTGTGTGTGTGTGTGTGCGCGTGCATGCACCTGAACTCAGGGGTAGGGCTTGAACTTGGGAGACTGGGTACTGTCCCTGAGCTCTTTCTGCTCAAGGCTGATGCTTTGAGCCACAGCACCACTTCCAATTTTGTAGTGGTTAATTGGAGGTAAGTCTCATAGCCTTTCCTGACCAGGCTGGCTTTGAACCATGATCCTCATATCTCAGCCTCCTGAGTAGCTAGGATTTCAAGTGTAAGCCACCAGCACCTGGCTGTGAGTCTCTTCAATTAACCACCAAAACATTCAGAAGTGGACCTGTGGTTCAAGTGGTAGAGTGTTATAGCCTTAAGCAAAAAAATCTCAGGGACAGCACCTAGGCCACAAGTTAAAGCCCCAAGTCCAGCACCAAAACAAACAATTGAGACCTTCTACCCCAAGTATCCTGAGGTCTCTTCAAGGGTGAGCAAGTTGTTCATATTCTGCTTCTGCTGAATTTGAGTCATTAATTCAGGTCCAAACATCAACTCAGAGATCATTTCCAAATGATGCCACTACCCACATGCACACAGAAATTTGAGAGTCCACGAAAGAGAAATATTTATTAAGTCTCTCCTGGGATCTCTACAGGATAATCTTTAAGTGTGTTGGTTAAATTGTCCCATTTGTTTTTCTCTTTAGATATTCCCAATCAACAGACCATAATAATCCTCACCCTGAATCCTAGGTTAGGGGTGGTGGGAGGAGCAGAGTCTAGACAGTTACTCACAGATAGAGGAGCACCAGGCTGGTAGCCAGGAGGACCCAGGTTTCTAGGGAAAAGTTAAGGATCAAGTCCATGGTCACTCTCGTCTGGTAATTCTCTCCTCTGATTTTTCCTTTCAGCTCTGGGTTGTGCTGGCTGCAGAGTGGACTCTGCTGAGCTCCCCTCAGTGCCCAGCTCTGATGAGGGAGCTGAGCCTCCTGCCGTTTATGGGCTGGGAGAGGAGGCAGGGCTGATGGCACAGACAGTAGAAAACTTACCTGTGCCCACCTACCTCACAGGTGTTGTGAGGCAGATATTCGGTCCTCATTTGGGCAGTGGACAAGGAATCATGGATGTGCATACTTTGAACTTTGACTTCACATTTTATAAACGTAGCAGTAAATAAATGCAATTACTGTTATCATTAGGGCGGAAGGTTTATGAGTTCACTCATCGAAAGTCAAGTGTAGGTATTAGGCTCCTCTAAGCTCTTATGTTTAAGGTCACTCAAAATACTTAAAACTGCACCCAAATAAATGATATCCACAGATGTTTATGAATGCAGTTTCTTCTGCTGACATGGTTTGCTTTTCAAAGAATGGGTCATTTTTCCACGGGTAAAAAGCAAGGCCCAGGAGCTGGGGTTGGAGGCATGGCTCATATGGTAGAGCACCAGCCAATGAGTGAAAGCATCAGATACTAAGTTCAAGTTCTGGTCTCAAACCAAAAATTAACAATGGAATAGGTTAGAAAGAGCAATGATTCTAGCTCTCACTCCTTGCCACAGCCGAGAATCCTGATGGGAGAGATGTCACAACTAGTTATATAAGAATAATACTGGCTCGTGACCTTTATTACCGATATGCTATATCTACTTAATCTGAGAAATGAAGGATCTGGTGACAGATAAGGCCTCAAAGTTACTAAAACACAAAAGAAATAGAAAACTAGCATATAAGACATTCACCTCCACATTCTCCATCAGAGCAGTAGACAAGGAATACATTACTACATTACTAACCCTACCATAGTTCAAACAATGAAACACTGCATTAATGGTTGCTATTGATGCTTATGGACTCACCCAAACCCCATACTTTTCCTATATATAACATTACTTTTTATCAGATGTGGGGCTTGAACTCAAGACCTGGGCACTGTTGCTAAGCTCTTTTGCTCAAGGCTACCACTACAACTTTGAGCCACAGTTCCACATCCAGTTTGCTAGTGGTCAGTTGGGGGGAGATAAGAATATCATGGAATTTCCTGCCGGAGCTGGCTTTGAACCACTATCATTAGGTCTCAGTCCTCTGAGTATGACCCACTAGTGCCCAGTATAACTTTTTTTAAGCTATAGAATCTCCATGTAACTAAAATTATACCATCTTCCTCCAAAACACTTATTTGGCTGCAATGCTTTAGTGATGAGAGCAATAATGACATTTTTGCGATTCTACCCACCTCCATGCCATGATCAAACTAGTTGAAATTTTATACCAACGAAGATGGGCTTGGCATTCCTTAAGACTAAAATAGGAAAGCTTAAAAACTAACAAACAGCTGGGAGCCATTGGCTCACGCCTGTAATCCTAGCTATTCAGGAGGCTGAGATCTGAGGATCATGGTTCAAAGCCAGCCTGGGCAGGAAAATCCTTGAGACTCTTATCTTCAATAAAATCACTAGAAACTTTGAAGTGGTGCTGAGTCTCAAGCAGTAGAGCACTCACCTTGAGCTGAAGAGCTGAGGGACAGCACCCAAGCCCAGAGTTCAAGCCCCACAACCAAAAAACAAAACAAAACAAAAACAAAAACCTAACGAACATTTTGCTATAGTTGAGATTTTTGCTCTATTGTTCATGAATTGAATTGAAAAATACCCAGGAAAAGAGTAAAATTTCTGCCCCATACTGGTGGCTCGTGCCTGTAATCATGGTTGCTTAGGAGGCGAGGTCTGATGACCCTGGTTCGAAGCCAGCCCTGGCAGGAAAGGCTATGAGACTCATCTCCAATTAACCACCAGAAAACTAGAAGTGGAGCTTGGCTCAAAGTGGTAGAGCAATAGCCCTGAGCAATAGAGCCCAAAGACAGTGCCCAGGCCCTGAGTGCAAGCCCCATGAATGACAAAATATACAGTAACAAATTAAATAAAGAAATATATAATTTTAAAATAAATGTTCTGTATCAAACAAATATATTCAGCACTATGCCTTAGCCAACACCAAAGGTCTTGCTCCACAGAAAGGATGATGAAAGGAGACAACTCCTGTGTGAATTTAATTATATATAAGATAAGGACTGGATTATGAAGAGCTGCACTGCACGTGTTCTAGAGTTTAGTGTTTGCCAGAAGAATGTTCTAATGGCATCTGTTCTCTCATTGGATCATATGCTCATTGAAGGCATTGTGTATTCATTTGTTTTTGGTCTGAGACTGGAACTGACTCATTCACTCACTGTCTAATGCTCTGCCAACTGAGCCATGCCCTCCAACCTCTGTATTGTATACTTTTAAAGATCCATTGTATACAGAGTACACAGATAAGAACAATCAGATAAAACTCTGGGTTTCAGATACACAGATGAGATCATTCCTATATATTCAAGTACAAATTAAACACGCAACTTACATGGACACTATTTCCTGTCCCTTTAATAAAAGGTTGAAGTTCGCTTTCAGATAACACACAAAAAATATTAGACTCAGCTGTCCTGGTTATTGGATTACTGATCCATGCTCGTGGCAGTGCAAAGGATTTGTGCTGGTCACTCAAACGGTCCTGCTCATAGGAAGCTTGTCATGATTTCCACTGAATGAATGAATTTCTTGATTAATACTGAATGAGTAAACTGTATCCACTGTGTGTGTGTATGTGTGCACTAATCTACATACTAGATTCACATTTCATGAGTCACAACTCCAATTGTGCCAGGAGAATGAAAATAAGGTGGTTTCATTTAGCTAGGTGCCCGTTCTTCACAGTCGTGTGAAACTTGATTTTTGCCAATTTTTAGGGCCCCATTTTGGTGGCTTTAAGAGGGAGAGACAGTTCTTATGAATTTCCTATTTGGGGGAGGCATGGAGAATGTCAAGCCCAGCCACGGCCTCTTAGTACTGGATGAGATTAAGACCCTTATTTTCCTCCTTGCTGTGGCATGTCGGTTTAGTTTTATGCCTACCATGTTCACACTATATACTTAGCACTAAACACAGGAAAGTCTGAATCCTTGACAGGGTAGAATCCTTTCACAGGGTAGAAAAACATTAACCAAATAAACATAATCAAATATAATAGCAGTTTTTGAAATTCGGGTGCACTATGTAGGCTGCTAGTGAGAATTTTCTTTGTAATTCCATTAAGAAAGCCATTTTCTCATCCTCTTAGCATTAAAGTTTAGGTGTATTAGCAATGTGAATTTTATTAATTCCATTCAAATGATTTCATACCAAACAAGTGTCTTCTCCTTAGAAGATAGGTGTCATATTAGACTACATAGATTTCCAGTTAATTTTTTCAGCTGCTTGAATTGTGTTTATTAGACACTAATGTGCTTTGCTCTGTTCTACACATCTTATGTGTCTCACCAACAACAAATCATATATCCTTTATAAAGCTTACTATTTGGTTAAAAAGACAATTTAGAGTCAGACTCTCAAGGACAGAAATGGCTACAGAGATTTGCCAAGTCGAATACTCCTGCAACCATTAATATTTACATAAGGGAGTAGTATGAGAAGAAAAAAATGAACATAGTTGATAAATCAAAAAAACTGATAGACGTGAATATGATGGCTCATGTTTTAATCCTAGCTGTTTGGGAGACAGAAGGAGGAAGACAACAACCTAAGCAAAAGTTACTAAGATCTGATCTTGAAAACAAGTTAGCCATGTGCCTGATAGCTGTAGTCCCAACTACTAAAGGAACTGGCAGTAGAAAGATCATGGTCCAAGGTGGGCCTTGGAAAAAGTATTATACCATACCTGAAAAACATGATAAAGTAAAAAGGGCTAGAGGTTAGGTTCAAGTGGAAGAGCACTTACTAGGCAAATGCCTGAGTTCAAACCCCAATACCATCAGAGAGACAGACAGACATACAAAAAGGCAGACACACAGACAGAGATATTGATAGAAGAGCTACAACCTAAAGAATGTCCAGACCTGAATATATACTGTAGGAAAAGAAAGAAGAGGCCAGTTCCAGGCAAAGAATGAGGAAAAAACTGATAGAAATGAATACAAGAAATTCTCAGGATAGTGGGAACAAAAAAAGAAGTCTGGTAGAGCAGAGAATACTTACTGGAGGGAGGATAGGAAATAAAACTGGCAGGAAGGGAGAGAAAAGGTGTGGAAATTCAACACACCATGCCATAGATTTTTAAATACACATTAAATTGACTGCCTAACTCTTTCAAACCTTGATCAACCTTGCCCTTCTGGGAAGTCCAAACTCAAAATAGTAACTTACAGTGTAGTGAATGGCTAAACCTAAAATGAGGGATTGTCTAAAATCAAGAAAGCCTAGGTCATTCCATGAGAAAGCACAAAACTCATTGAATCCAGTGTTATTTAACAACCCCAAGAAGGGTAATTGACATATTTATAAAACACAGATTTTTTTAAAAGAGAAATCTCCACTTTTCCCACTTTTCTCCCCAAACACACACAGGCGCGCGCACACACACACACACACACACACACACACACACACACACACACACACACACACACACATACACACACACCTTTTGAGGGGAAAAAACATTAAGGAACAAAATGAAAAAAATAAATATTGAACTGTAAATTGGGGGAAAAAACGTGATAAACTAAAAGAACAGCTTAGGTCTAAAGATGCCAATACATTCCTCATCATCCAAATTTGAAATGAAAACTCATTTACATATTTGGGTGCCAGCAGATAACCACAGCTACCCAGGAAGCTGAGATCCAGAGGATCATGGTTTGAAGCTAGCCTGGGCAGAACAAACACAAGTTTGTGAGACTCCATCTCCAACATAACTAGCAAAAGCCAGGCTGATCATGTTAAATGAAGTGAGCCAAGCATAGAGACAAATGGTGCATGTTGTCTCTCATATGTGGAAGCT